ACACATATGCTGGACCTGCTTTTGCTTTGATTTGCTTGCTGATGTCTTGTGTATTGCTTTCTAAATGCATCAGTATTTAAATTTTAAATAATATGATTTGATTACAAAACAAAACAAACAAAAGGTAACATTTAATTAGAAATGACAATCTCAATGATATTCGCCCCAACCACCTGCCCATCATTCTCTCTCTCACCTAAAATAAGAAGTTGGGCCAAATCAAAGGTAAGCATGGGCCAACTTTGGCCTGCTGGCCCTAGATTGGGCATCTCTGACTTAAACCTTTCTTAACTTTTATAAAGATTATTCTAGGTTCAAGTGGTATAAGTAAGGAATTGGAGGCAAGCAGAGTACAGCGCCATCTGCTGTCACAAACTAAGCTCAAAACTCTACAGTCAGAATATATCCTGCCTTTATATAGTGCCATTGTGTGGTTCTAATATAGTTCCAATATAATTATGGTTTTAGTTTTCTAAATGGTTGCCATTCTTGATGCGAACAGCACTTTAAAACGTAAAAGGACCCTTTTTAAATGGCACTTTATTACATCAAGCTTTGGGCTTTTTCTTGCTTTGCCTCTGCAGGAGACCATGTGCAATATATGCAGGGTTATTAGAGCAGTAGATAGATGCTGCAGCATGGATTCAAGACCCCTTCTTCACCCACATGCTCACTCTCTCTTATCTCCTCAAGGCCTCACGACTATCTAAGTAGGTCTTTCAGACAAAATATGACCGTCTGTGTATAGAGAGATTGGGTGAGGGTACAGCCATACCCCAGCTGGTCATTGTGCGCTTCTTATTTCATCTCCTTTGAGGAAAGGAGCACATGAGAAATTGAAGAGGCTTTATCCCCAGATGTTTCTCTTTTGTTATGTATGAAATCAAAGCCTTTTCGTGTTCGCTGTTGCCCGATTGGTCATGGTAGGTTCTTCTACAGCCTCTTTTTGAGGGAAGCTTTGGATGACCCATGGGAAGGGCACAAACTCTGTCTCTTTAAAGCCTCATTTTTGTTTTATCACACGCTGCTTTAATGGAGATGAGGTAGAGCGAAATCCCTGTCGAGAACTCTGTAGATGGAGTCTGCGAAGGCTTTGATCTACACTCGTACTTACGAGATCTCTCAGGCTTCTAGATCTGTTGATGAGAAAACTATTCCCGAAGTCCTGCTTATCTGAGGCCTTGTCTGCTGTAGAGTGCAAAGGAAGAATATTGAAAAGATAAGATACCTTTTACGTATTGATTTCAGTTATGATCCTCAAACCTATCAGACCTACTATAAGCTCAGAGGTTGTCAAATTGTTTTATGGTCTGTAGGAACCACTTTTAAATTCAGTTCAAAATAATTATTTACATTAAAAACAGCAATCTATGGTCTTATAAGTGGATTACTACTAGTCATATGGAGTTTTAAACAGTAGTGTATTTCTGGTACTTGTTCTTGTTTTTAAATTTGTTTATTCATTCATTCATTTTCTATTTGAGTTAGTCCCTTTATTAATCTGGGGTCACCACAGCAGAATGAACCAGCATATGTTTTACACAGTCGATGCCCTTCCAGCTGCAACCTAAACACTCATACACACTCATTTACACACATACAGTAAATTTAGCTACTAATTTTAGCTTACACAATTCACCTGTACTGCATGTCTTTGGACTTGTAGGGAAAACCGGAGCACCTGGCAGAAACCCACGCAAACATTGGGAGAACATGCTAACTCCTCTCAGAAATACCAATTGACGCAACCGGGACTCAAACCAGCGACCTTCTTGCTGTGAGGCAGTTGTGCTACCCACTGCGCCACTGTGCCTCCCATTTTTACAACAAATTCTAGAACATTGGCGACGCAGTAGCGCAGTACGTAGTGCTGTTGCCTCACAGCAAGAAGGTCGCTGGTTCGATCCTCGGCTCAGTTAGTGTTTCTGTGTGGAGTTTGCATATTCTCCCTGCATTCGCTTGGGTCTCCTCCGGGTGCTCCGGTTTCCCACACAGTCCAAAGACATGTGGTACAGGTGAATGTGTGTGTGGTTGTTTCCCAGAGATGGGTTGCGGCTGGAAGGGCATCCATTCCATAGAAAAGTCCTTAATAAGTTGGCGGTTCGTTCCGCTGTAGCGACCCCGGATTAATAAAGGGACTAAGCTGACAAGAAAATTAATGAAAGAATGATAGAACATTTTTTAAAAGAGCTATTTGATTAATATAGGCTTCCTGGCATTGGTCAGAGCCCCCTGATTTCCCGGGGCCGTAGCTTACCTTGCTTATTGCTTAAGTCCACCCCTGGCAACAGTGCTAACCCCTGAGCCATCGTGCCACCCTTATCTATTCACTTATTTAAAAAAATGCTTCTTAAATCCATTGTTTAATGTGTTTGATTGTTTAAGTAACTTCGCCACAACCTGTCGAAGTATCATCGAATGATGTTTTAGTTTTATTTTACTCTTGAAAAAATATATATTATTAAAGATTCTTGAGGAAATCTTTAACAAATTAAACTTTTGGGCTCAAAAGTCTCAAGTCTGCTGGACTCGATAGTGTTATTTCAGTGTTGAGCTATGTAATAGTGTCAGTTTTGTGAAATTTGTTCATTTAGCTGTAGCACAGCTTTACTGAATGCCAACTGACCAAGCTGAGGCTCGAACCAGCGACCTTCTTGCTGTCAGGCGACAGCACCACCGCATTACCCCAAATTTATTTATTTATTTATTTATTTATTTATTTATTTATTCATTTAACTAATGCAATTCAAGTTTTGGATCGAATCAGTAGCGCTGTATAGTCTGCGGGCTTCGGGATGAGTATCCCCAGGTGGAAATATGAAAATAATTAACGTCGCTGCTGTTCATAGTGTGTATAAACGAGATGCAAACACCTGCGTGGGGCACATTTTTGAACTGCGAGAGTGTGTCTGAACCTCGGACAATATCAGGAAGGCTATTCCAGAGTTTAGGAGCCATAAATGAGAAGGCTTGATCTCCTTTACTCGACTTTGCTTTTCTAGGTACTACCAGAAGCCCTGGCCTGAGTTTTGAGATCTTAAAAAGCAAGTTGGATAGTAGCAAGACAGAAGGTTGGTTAGATAAACATGAGCTAGATTATTTAAAGCTTTATAGGTAACAGATGGTACGGATGTTTCTTGAAGCTCATTCCATACATATGGCATACTGCAGATCGACCTAACTCTGTGTGAAAAAAATGGCATCTTAAGTAAGAATAAATCTGCTGATCTGGTGTTGTAAGTATTTAAACAGAACTTAAAACAAATTAGATATATACTGTGGTAATTTACAAACTACAGCTTTAAAAATGAAAACTAAGATACTTTGTTTTCTCCTTAACTGTAATGAAGTCTATTCTATAATTTTATATGGAAACACTTTATTTTGATGCTTAATATCTGTTGATAATGCTCCTTCAGCAGACATTTACAGACTATAAGACACTTTGCAAGTACATGTCAACTTACACTAACCCCAACCTCTACCCTAACCCCAACCTAACAGTCTACTTATCTAATGAGACTTAGTTGGCATGTAGATGCAGTGTAACTAATATTCAACAAACGGCCATTTTATATAAATTACAGTGATGTGTGCCTGCACTTGAATCAGTGACAAATCTTAAGACACTATGATAAACAATATCTCTTTTTAAAAAAAAAAAACATTCAGAGGTTATCATCTCCGTAATTCAATACTGATAGAAGTGAACTCTCAACTAAGTGTTTTTGAGCTGCAAAGGAGAAACATTTTTTTTAATGAAAGTAAAAACCTAATAAATGCGGCGATGCTGTTTTATCTGGATGGCTAGTTCATGTTGTTAAGGAGCACACTTTTGATCTCAGTGTTACACACATGAACCAATCAGCAAGAAGAGGCGTGTCTAATATTTATAATTTATTATAATTTATTTTAAAATAAAAATACTTTATTATTTTTTTTAAAGGACGTGGCCTTGGGGTGCTATGGTTGTGTTGTTTTGCTGCTTGCTTTCAGATTTCAACATTGTTAGGAAATAATTATTTAGTGCACCTTTAAATCTGTAAAGCAGGGATCACCAAACTTGTTCCTGGAGGGCCGGTGTCCTGCAGATTTTAGCTCAAACCCTAATCAAACACACCTGAACAGCTAATCAAGGTCTTATATGCATACTTGAAACACTCAGGCAGGTGTGTTGAAGCAAGTTGGAACTAAACCCTGCAGGGACACCGGCCCTCCAGGACTGAGATTGGTGACCCCTGCTGTAATAAAAAGTTTTATTTTTTTTTTTATAAATAAAGAAGGTACACAAAAAGTAATTTTGAAACTATGGCTACTTATAGAAGTGTTTTTTCACTTCTCTTATAATGTGTGTGACAAAATAGCATCTACGTACCAGATAACGTGTGCCAGCCTTGGCAATAGTCTACTACTTAAGAAGCCTGGTGTAGACCTGGAACATTGTGCTCTGGCCTCCTTCTCTGGTGTTTTTTTTTTTTAGAGAGGGTGCAGGAAGAGGCCTATTGGAAGGGAAATTTAAAGGAAATTTGAAATGGTTACTTTATGTATAGAAATCTGACATTTCAGAATGTTTTCTCATTAGTAAAAGTAGTTTCTCCACATATTGTGTTGGGTTTCATAGCACATCGCTTTCCACATCCAATAGGAAGACTAGGTTGAATGTTTTATTTTCTTGGGAGATATAAACCTTGTTTATTTATTCTTATTTATCTTATTTTCTTTTTTAACAACTTGTTCTATTCCTAATACATAGTCAGAAAATAGTGTTATAACAGAGCTATTTAGAAAATAGTGTTATTGTTTATTTGCCGAAAAAGTGACTTTATATCATAGCAAGTTTCATTCAATGAGAATATGTGCAGTTGTTTTCTGTAGAGCTTGACATGACTAATTTACTCATACATAATGTAGATGTACTCTAATTATTATGATAAACTAGCACTAGTGTAATGTTTCCAAAGAGTGATTTCTCATTTCCTCTGTTTGTGTGCCTCTCTTAGGAAGTAACATCACTGTGTCCTTATCCAGCAACACGTCAGAGATAATGGAGGGTGAGAGCATCCAGCTGACCTGTGTTGTTGGCAGTACTATGGGTCCACTGTCAGTGACGTGGCAGTGGACAGATAAGGATGGAGCGGGTCCTGCTGTGAACGTGGCATTTGTGGATCGTGAGGGTACCGTCACTCCTGGGCCCACTTTTAGGGAGCGAAGCAGCTTCGGGGAGATCCGGGTGGAGCGTGTTCAACCCGACACCTTCACTCTGTTCCTGTACAATGCCTTCCCCACAGATGAGGGTCAATACAGATGCAGCGCCACCGAGTGGTCACAGAGTGGTTCTGCACCCGACTGGAATTGGCAGCAGATAGGAGACGAATCCGCCATCAAAACCGTCACTGTGAAATCAGTCGGTAAGATCGATTGCATTAAGTTCAGTTGTAATGTAATAGTCGGTTTGTCTGTCTTTCTGTCTATCTATCTTAGTTAATCTCTCCTATTATATTCAGTTTTTTGTTAAATGTATTTGTGTCAAATACTTTTATATTTTCAGTTAACCTTAAAACCTTGGATAAAGATTTGACAACATAAATATAAATACTTAAAAATATATATTTGTATTTATTTACACTTTTAATGTATGATGGAGATTTTTATAAGTTTAAACATTACTAAAAGTCTTTGGATACTAAAAAAGATACTTAAAGCAGCTCAACCTACTGAAAACACAATAAGAATAAATGATTCTTGACAATCAAATCATCACATTAGAGTTATAAGTAATGATTTTAATTTCAGTTTTTTTGCAGTCCTGTTCTGTGGACATGTGTAAATGTGTTACTACGGAGACCTGTTAATACGCTGGTCAATAATTCCATATTTTCATTCAATGGTTTGTGAAAACTGCAAAATTGTTGGGAACTGGATCCTATTTTAATGTCAGGAAATAAAAAAAAAGAAACCTGTTCATATGACATACTATACCTACACACAGTTCTTTTCAAACAGCTTTCAAAAGGTGAGACCTTGAGACGAAGAACCATATTTTCAAATGTTGAGTAATAAGATTTTTTTTTTCATTTTGGTTGTGAACATTATATTGTATTATATTTTTTTTATTTCACTTGAAGTAGACAACAAACGCTTCTCAATTCTAAGGAGATAACATTTTTCAGTGTGAGTATTAAAAATACAAAGTTATTGTGATTTTATATTTCTCAAATGTGAAAGAACAAAAAAATGTCCAGTTAGTGTGGAATAACAGAATAACTCCAATTCATCATATCACTTTAAACCACTAAAGATCTGATTACTTTATCTTAGTTTTAATACAGGAACAGGAACTTCAGGTTAATATTAAGCATTTCTCTCAAATTTATTATTATTATTTAAAACAGAAAATATAGTATGAACAATGTACAATACATATACATTTTTACAGTACAGGCAATAACAATCAATTATTAAAAATAAATAAATAAATGTAATAATAAATGCATACAATGCATTTACAGCATTTACATTATACAGTAGCTAATTATTGTCATTTATTTAGAAAAGCTAGTGCAGGGCAGCTGCGTATATGCTACTTAAAACTGTTCTCGTGCATGCCATCTCATGATATGAATAAATACATAAAGAAATAAACTCCATACAGTAGTTTACAAAGGACTTGTGGAAAATATGCATTGACACTGCTTTATTATATATGGTATGTGGTTTACTTTTTGTGCTGTTTAGCACTCCTCAGTGCGTTCAGATAAAGAGAGAGAAAGAGAGAGAGAGAGAGAGAGAGAGATCACATCAAATATACTGTTCTTCCACTTCGATAGCACTTTCGATAGATTTTTTCCTGGTTTTTGTTCTCCACTTTGATTCAAATATGGTTTCCCAGCATCCCTCAAACCCCTCCTTACTCTGTCCTTTTATTCGTTCATGTCAGCTCTCCTTTTTTTGCAGAAGATTTTCCTTTTAATGCTTGAAGTGGACATGAAAGCAAGCAGATTTTATTTTATTTTATTTTATTTTATTTTATTTTATTTTATTTTATTTTATTTTATTTTATTTTATTTTATTTTATTTTATTTATTTTATTTTATTTTGAAAAAAAAGAATGAAACCTGAAAAGTTGAAGTAAGCCCCCTGTTTTTTTTGGGTTTTTTTTTTCCAATTTCTGTTTAACGGAGAGGAGACTATTGAAAAAACATATATGTAGCTTAAAGGGGCTAATAATATTGACCTTAAAATGTTGTTTAGAAAATTAAAAAAGGCTTTTATTCTAGCCGAAATAAAACAAATAAGACTTTAAAGAAAATAAAATAAAAAAAGACTTTCTCCAGAATAAAAAATATTATCACACATACTGTGAAAATTTCCTTGCTCGCTTAAACATCGTTTGGGAAATATTTAAAAAAGAATATAAAATTAAAATGAGGGCAAATATCTCTGACCTCAACTGTATATACACATGTGGATATGAATTAAAATATTCTCTCATAAGTAAATACATAAAACATTCCCTCCTGATGTTCAATGCCAGGGGGATAAACATTTCCTGTTCATACAGAAATTCGGCCACTTTATTTGCATATATAGTGTATTTGTACTCACGCAGTGTAGGGTACTGTATTTTTAGTGTCAGCATCACATTATATTTATGACATCATAAATGCCTCAGACACACAGACACAAACTCACACTTGAGATTCAACAATGGCAGGAACATAAAGTGACTGGAGTGAAGTGAAGTGAGTGCTGAAGTGGCATGTAAAGCTCTATATGAAGTCAATAGCTCATTTATGATTATATACAGTACTGTACTGTAGCCTCGTGTACATGTAGCTCAGTGGAAGACTACTGCTGTCAGCATTCCATCACAATCAATAGCCATGACTCCACAGTCTGCTCTTTAACTGTGTGTGTAATGATAACACACACACACACACACACACACACACACACACACACACACACACACACACACACACACACACAGAAAGAAAACATAACTGGAAATCATGCTGGCAGATGCTCTAAATAAACACACTGTGCCTGATAAGCATGTGCTGCGTGACAGTGAGTGGTTTTTAGACAAGATATGTGATTGATTCTTAATAGCGTACAATATGTCTCCTTTTTTTGATACTTTGAATTCTTCCTCTTGTTCTAACATAGTCTGACAAAGTCATTCATTCATAGATTTTATTTTTCGATTTCTATTTTAGCAACTGGCTTGTAGGGTATAATAGTTGGAATCAGAAAATGAATAAACAGTATGGGTGGAATGTTTGAAAAATCTAACTTTGTAATTGTATTTTTTAAATTAGGGAAAGGAAATATTTATATGTATATTAAATATAATTTAATTGTAAAATAATTTTGTAATTTTTGTCGAACTGTGGTTAAACATTGTAAAGATTTTCCAAAAATATGAATTAATTGAAAAGGTTTATTTAGAGGAAATTAATGAAATATCATTATACTTATGTCATACAATCTTCAATATTAAATATGGTAATATGTACAATCTGTATTGTTAAGCCTGTTTCTGCCTCAACATCAAAGCAAGCAAATGTGCCTATATCTTTTAAAGCTGTTTATATATTTAGCATTATATATTTTTCTTTACTATTCATGCTTCATTCATTTGTTCATTTTGTTTTTACTATAAATTTTAAAATGAACACACGTTATATACTACCGGTTAGGGTTGCATGGTTTAACGGTGCTATGGTATTATCATGATACTATGGCTCCAAAATACTGACGGTGCTACTGTAGTTTGTAAATGGTAGTATCATCATTAACGTTCTATCTACAATAGATAATGTTGCATGTGGAAATGTCACTAAAATACTCACACGCTTGAGCAACAATACACCATTTTATTTAAACAGTCTGTGGAGCCCTTTAGGGTTGCAAAACTGTGTAGAAATCACAGCTTTTATGATAACGTATTGCACGTTTTCTGGTGCTTCAGGTCGATTGCACATCTGAATCAGATCATTTCTGTTCCTGTCAACATTATTTAGTAGCCACAATAACCGCAACAATCTTCTTAAAGAAACGGCCCACAAATTGAGATTGTGAATTACTTTGGATTCTTACCTGATATGACAAAAGAAATAAAAATAAAAACAATAGATGAAAAACACAAAAAAACAACAGGAAACATTGAAAAATTTTTTGATCACTTCATATTGCCTCATTACCTCCTTGAAGTTGGCACCCCATAAAAACAAATAATCCCCAAAACTATGCCATTCGTTTGTGCTACGTTTGTGCTGATTTGTGCCGCAAAAATGAACGTTTGTGCTGGTTTGGGGTCTGAGATATTGAGCATTATTTTTTTGACCGTGTGACGTCACTTTCCACTCCATGTTGCGCAAATGACTTCAAAACAGCACAGGTCGTTTGTGCTCAATTTGTGCTGGTCTGTGCCGTTAAAACGAACACGGTATCTGTTTTCCTCTTTTAGATATAAGCAAAATATTTCGGGAGCCGTGACGTCACTCTTCACCCCATTTTCTCTAAATCGCGCAAAACTGGTGTCTTTCATTAGTGCTAGATTTTTGCTGGTTTGGGCCGTTAAAATAAACACTTTATCTATTTTCGTTGTTTAGATATAATCAAAATATTTCGGGAGCCGTGACGTCATTCTCCACCCCAGGTTGTCTAAATCACACCAAACTGGTCTCATTTGTTTGTGCTCAATTTGTGCTGGTCTGTGCCGTTAAAATAAACACTTTATCTATTTTTATTGTTTAGATATTGCCTTATCAAAATATTTCGGGAGCCGTGATGTCACTCTCCACCCCAGGTTGTCTAAATCGCACAAAAAAGGTGTCATCCATTAGTGCTGGATTTGTGCCGTTAAATTAAACACTTTATCTATGTTTATTGATTAGACATTGCCTAATCAAAACGTTTCGGGAGCCACGACGTCACTCAGCGCCCCATTATTTGCTCTAAATTGCACAAAACAGGTGTCATATGTTAGTGCTGGATGTGTGCTGGTTTGTGCCATAACAATAAAAACTTTATCTATGTAAGTAAGTAAAAATTAACTAACTTCTAGTGTTCCCAACCTGCACACTTGAAGCTTTGGCGAGATGACAAAGACTGAGCTTTTTTATTTTATTTTTTTATGCCTCTTAATTATTTATATCCCATCTCTTTCTCTCGGATGACATTGATCATTTGTTCTTCCTCTGCTGTCAGAATCAGCTTGGTTGAAGTGTTTCATCAGCTCTTCTTTTGATTTGAAAGCGAAAGACTGGCAGCTCTTCATGTCTTTGTCTCATACTGTAAGTACTGTCTTCTCCAGGTCTATAGCAGGGCTCACTTTAGCTGGGTTGAAGCGCAGATAATCATGTGATAGCCACTCTTACACACACGTCCATGTGGGCAAAGA